AGGAAGGCGGTATGACACTTTCTCAAAAAGTTGTAAATAGCGATACCATTTGACCCAGCAATTCCACTACTGGGAATTAACCCTAAAGAGACCATAACTGCCACCCAAGCAGATACATGCACACCCATGTTTATCGTGGCTTTGTTCACAATAGCAAAGAGTTGGAAACAACCTAAGTGACCATCAATAAATGAATGGATAGAGAAGCTATGGTATATTCACACAATGGAATACTACGCTGCATTGAAAAACAAGGAACTCATAAAATATTATTCAAAATGGGTGACCTTGGAGGACATTAAGCTGAGTGAAATATCTCAGTCACAAAAGAACAAATACTGCATGGTGCCACTGTTGTAAAACAGGACTGACATGGCGGTTGAGGGGAGATTGAGAAAGATGGGATAAATAGTGTATACTGCCTTGAAACAGATGAGGGAGAAAACTGTTTAAAAGGGATATGTGATTAGGTATTATTGTCCTGACACGAGTACAGAGTGAAGGCTACATAGTGGAACAGACTTGGGGGAGGATTATGGAAATCCTCAGTGTCTGTAAACTTTCATTAAAATTAATAATAATAAAACAATTTTTTTAACAAGAAAAGGTAGTCGGAAAGTACAGGTGGTGGAATTGGGACGTGTCTTCAGTTCATGAGATAGTTCAGGCCATTCAAAACCAATTGGGAAGACAAGAAAGCCAGCAACAAACAAAAAAGCCAAGGTGATCTCAAAAACCATTTCTGTATCTGCACAGAAAAATGTCTGAAAGGAAACATGGCATAAACAAGTATTGTAGCCATCCCTGAAGGTGGGCTTACTTTTGCTTTTCTGTGTTTTTGGTTTTTCTTTTTTTCTTAATTTTTTTTTATTTACTCGCAATTGTACAACAGAATAGAAGAAAGCTAATTTATTATTGTTGTTAAGTACCATCAAGCTGGAACCGACCCACAGCTGAGCCTCCAGGAGGTTTTCAGAGACAGTTAATCACACAGGAGGAGAGTGCCCACGTTCTTCCTGCAGAGCGAACGGTAACTTTTTTCTTCCACAGCTCAATTCTTTACCACTAAGCCCCCAGAGCACCCTAAAGAAAACTTATCAAAATAAAATAAGGGGGAGGGGAAAAGTAAAGCTCTACTCTCCAATGCCCCAGTTCTGGTTCTTACTCGCTTTTCTCTGAACAAGTGGTCAGGTGGATGGAGCTCCAGAGATGGTCCCAAGTCTAGGCCTGCAGGCTGCAGAAGGACAAGCCTCCAGCACCTCCACCCTAGCTGCATGTTGTGTGGCCAGAGTGCCCTGCTGCACTGGGTCAGCCACTGAGGGCCCCCAAATGGTGGACCCACAGCTCCAGACCCCAAACCTTCCGGGGCAGGTCCGATTATGCTCCTGTCCAGCCTCATCTGCCCTGTGCTCAAGGCTCTTCTCAGGATTTACTGTCCCCCACACCTGCATCCACCAGCTCCATTAAAAAGGGGCGATGCGGGGTGCAAGGACGAAGGCTCATCCACATGTTCCAGGACGTGCACACTGTTTCAAAGCCCAGGAGGTGGGTACTTGGAAGGTAGACATGGCACATGAGAGATGGGACAGAGTGGGACTAAACCCCACTCTCCTTAGTCAAAACAACTGCTTGGGGAGTTCTGGTGGCCTAGTGGCAAGACACTGCACTGCAATCCCAGAGGTATGTGGTTCAAATCCACCAGATGCTCTGCTGGAGAAGGAGGGGGCAATCTCCTCCTGTACCAGTCAGATCTGATTTGACGGTACACGTAAAAATAATACAGTAAAAATTAAAAAAAAAAAGCAACTGCTTGTTCCTCGAGGACCGATGACTGCTGAACTAGGGTGCTGGGGTTCCCGTGGAAAGCTGGGACGCCTTGGCTTGCAGAGTCCTGATTAGAAAGGATGTCCATCCTGGGAGGTGGAGTCCCACCTGCAGCACATGTCCACCCATCAAGGCCCTGTACAAGTATCTCAAATTTCAGGGCCTGTTTTAGAGTCAGTGAAGCCCAGCTGGGGAGCATGTCATGAGGACTGGATCAGGCGTCTCCAAGTTCTATTCAAGTCCAACATTCAAAGTTCTAGCACTAACAGTCACAGCACTTTCTATCACCCATATTTTGTGTGTTTCTGTAATGATCTCTAGTTGCGTAAGGTATACAGTCCCTACTACACTTTTAAAATACAAATGTATGTTATTGTTGTGTACCAACGACAGAAATAGAAACACGTCTGCCTTCTCATGTGGGGTTCGCTAGCATTAACTAAGGTAGATGGTGGTGTTATTATGTGCCATCAAGTAGGAACTGACTCACTCGTAGCTGACCGTCCAGCAGGCTTTCAGAGGCTATGAATTGTATGAGAGGAGAAAGCCCATCTTTCTCCCAAAGGGCAGCTGGTGTATTTGAATCACCTGCCTTAGAGATGACAGCACAATAATTATCATTAGGCTGTAAGACACTAGAAACCTCTATGTCCTAAGAAAGTTAATTTAGAAAATTTCCACTCCAAGGCCTAGAAACATAGGAACACGTGAAGGCTGTAAACAGCCTTTAACTCTACTTTGACCAGGCAGCGGATAGCACAAGCAAGCGTCCATATAAACAAGCTCCCAATCTCTAACCCTGGAGAAAAGGTGTGTCATTTGACTCCTCTCTAACCTTGGAGACAAGACAGAACATACTAGCCTTTGACGTCAGGCTGGACCTTGTCCTGTGGAGCCAGGGTGACAAATTCACATATAAACCCCAGATTTCCATTCAATCACTCAGAGAAGACAGAGATAGAACTGAGCATCCATCCCGCCTACCTTGAACTCTGTCTACCGCGGGGTCTTGGCCAAGTTCAAGCTGTGCTTTAGTTTCTTCCCAAGACCCCTTGCTAAAGGCAAAAGCCCAAGATCTAAAGATCTTGCCTCTCCCCGTTAAATTAACATCGCCATTATAATCATTAACTCCGCTTCTCTAATTCTAAATTCATATCTTACTAGTGTGCTTTATCATAACTACCTTGCAATAAACTAAAGGAGTTTATGCATGCCACACTTGAAGATCTCTATTAATTTTCCACGAGAAAATACTGCATAACATTGCGAGGAGGGGAGCAGAATCATCCCACCTTCCTTTCTGGGCTGCTCCTCACCCCAGGTCCTTCAGTGGGCAGTCAAGGCCTGTGAGAAGCCCCGCCACTCTGTGTGTCCCTGCTTGAGGATAAGTGTGAGCGTACGTGTGTGTGTGTGTGTGTGTGTGTGTGTGTGTGTGTGTGTGCACACGTGACATGTGTGGGAGTCAATGGTGCAAAGCAGGGATGAGGGGATGAGTGTGAATAGGGGGCTAAAAAGACAGGCGTCCACATGATTTCTGGTGCAGGGCCGTGCTCCAGGCACATCACCTTTCTGAAGACTTCCCTTCACCCAGTCCAAGGCCTCAGTTTCTCTGGTACCCTCATCGGCTATCAACCACCCCCTTCCTCATTCTTATGCTCACTCACAGACGGAGTTTCTCTCTGTCCCTTACACAAGATACACCACCTAGGAGGGGACAGGTGGCCATTCAGTGAGCGAACCCCTTGGGTGTCTCTCCCTCATGGCCCCCTATCCACCCCGTGCCCACTTTTGAAAGGTGCCCACAACTCTCAGAGCCTTCCAGACAGAGGAAAAGGTGGACTTCCATTGCATAATGATAAATTCAAGACATTATTCTGCTGAGATCAGAATGAAAAATAAGGGAGCCTGACACTGTCATGATTTGTTAACCTGACATCGCCTCTCTATGCGTTGCACAAATTTTAATTAAAATCTCAGAAGTGATTTGGGAGTCCTTTCATTGTGTGTCTCTGGGCCTTCCAGGCTGCCCTGGGGGGAGGGCAGGGCTCCTTCTCACCTTCACAACAGGGATAAGCTCCAAGATCTTCCCAGAAGGATGGAGCAAGGAAAAGGGACAGGGCACAGATAGTGTAAGCAAAGACAGCATGCCAGTGTGTGAGGTGCCTGAGAGAACATGAGGACACTCCCAGCCAGCTCCACCACTCTGCCCATTTTACAGGTAAGGAAACCGAGGCCCAGAGAAGTAGTTTGCACAAAATTCACCTATAGCAATGGCAGGGGTGGGTGTCTGTGTCCTGGGTCTGTGAGTTGAGGGAATCAGCCCAGGAAAAGTGGAAGAAGACAGAAGACAACATGGGCATTCACCCCTCTACTCCTCAATTCACGGGCTCTCAGCTCGCTAACAGGAACCCCTGCCCTAGGGAGGACTGGCTACTGAGGAGGAGAGAAGAAAAGGAGCACAAGAATAGTAATGCAGTGGCCTTCATTCCTACAGTCAGCCCTGGAGACGGAAGAGGGAAAGCTGGGAGGACAGTCTTGCTTCTGGCTTCTTAGGGAAGAAGCTGCAAAAGTTCTAAATCCTTCCAGGAAATCTCCAGGTCAGTGGCTGTGTGAGCAGAGGAGGGGCTGACAGGAAGCCTGGGACAGCACCCTGACTTACACAAGTCCCAATGTCCCTATAGGTTACCCCCATCTTCCCACTTACCACAGTGAGGGTACCAGAGAACGTACAGGGAGTATGGGCCACTAGGAGGAAGGTCAAGTCGCTAGTTAGCAGACAGCTAGCTATGGTGGGTCCAAGCTAATGAGCTGAGGGGATCAGTCAAATTGGGGGAGTCCGTCAACAGGCCAGCCAGCCTCCAGATTGGAGACCCGAGAGAGTCACAACCCCCTCTGTGCCCAAGCCGTCTCACCTGGGCAAAAGTGGGTGCTAATACCCTGCTTCCTGAGACAAATGTGAGGGTGGGATGAAGGCACGTGGGTATGGAAGGTGACTGGAATCTGTGATGTCAGAGGCCGCAGGCTGGAGCTTCTCAGAGTGAGTCTACCAGCTGACTTGTCCCACAAGAGAGGTCCCATCCTCCCCCATGACCTCACTCCTCAGCCTCAGCACCCCTGACTCTCAGGAGATCCCAGGGACCCTGCTCACCATCCACCCAACCCCCATCCCAGCTTACCCTCAGGGCTGGCAGGGAGCTGACCTGGTCAATGGTCAGCGTGGCCTCCTTGTAGTACTTCACCAGGGGGCAGAGCTTCAGAAAGGTTTCGTGAATGCTGAGAAGAAATGGACATGGTAAGGGCATGATGTGGGACTAAGCATAAGTCCCCTTCCCCACAGGCACCACCTTGATGGAGGGAAACTTGAGAGCTGATTGACTCAAGACAGTATTAAATCACCCCACCCATTGGCAGACTTCCCTGAGGCTCTGAGGTGCCCAGCATGGCGATAGACACCCACCATGGTGGGGTGAAGAGATGACCTGGCTCAAGGAAATCCACTAGCACGTGTTCTGTCTTCTGGATACTCTCCCCCGTGTTAATCATAGAATGTAAGAGCCGACAGGGACCTCTGTGAGCATGCCATAGTCTTTCCCTCATTCACAGAGTGAGAAACCACTCAGGCTCAGTCCATCCTCTACCCAGAGAAGACAGCACACAGTGGGAATGGCAGAAACAGGCAAGCACACAGCCATGCTCGTGTCTGTTGGGAGCAAGCTGAGCAAACTCCCTAATTGTTCCTAGACTCTGTGTCTTTTTGTCTGCAAACCTCCATCCGAAGGGACTAGGCTTCAAGTGACAAATAATGTCTGAGTGGCCCCTGAGGGGGCAGGGTCAGGAGTCTACCAGGGGCTATGAGAGAAGGAGCCCTCAATCTCTGTCCCTTCCCACCAGCCCTGGACCCAGGCTCCACCCCCCCACCCCCCCACCCCCCAGCAGGCTCTGTAGGACCAAGGCAGCCAGCGGAGAGGAGAGAACGGTCTAGACACGGGGTCCTTCACTGTCATAGCGGGGCTGTGTAACCAAGAGCAACTCACTGTACACACCCCAGCCTCGGTTTCCTCACTCAAAAAAAGAGGTGATACTGATAGCCCTTGGAGGACTGTGATGTGAATTCGCTTGACTGTGAAAGGTCATGTGTGTGTTTGTGTGTGTGTACATGCACAAGGGGGTCATAACTGTAAGCTGATTGAAAGAACATTCTCCAGATCCAGACAGAACTAGGTTCAAATGCTGATTCCGCCACTTAATATTTCTGAGATTCACCCGCTCACCTTTACAATGGGGGTGTGAGGAAATAATTCTCCTTTCCCTTGTTTATGAAGATTAAATGAGAGGAGCAGTCAGCAACTTAACTAAGACCGTCCATTGGGTTTCTGGGGCTATAAATTGCATGGGAGGAGCTTGCCCATCTTTCTCCCTCAGAGCCATTGGTAACCACCAATGAACTTTCAGCAGAGAAGAGTGGCCTTTGAGTTAGCAGTGAGCCGGTGTATCAATGTTAGCTAGTATCTGGTATATGCACATGATTGTATTACAGTGGCCCTTGGAGAAAACCCCTGAGCAGTTCCACCTCTCTGTGTCCCTTTGCCGAGCCCCAGACACCACTCTAAACCTAACCCTTCTGACTGCCCAAATGCAGGTCCAGAGTAGGAGCCCTCTCACCCAACCCCGGCCTGTGTTCTCACCTCTTAAGGTCTTTCATGTTCTTCCTCCTTTACCCCTTCCCTGTCCCTCTTTCTTCCCCACCAGGCGTTTGATCTCAGTTAAGAGCTAGCAGACAAGCAAACTGATTGAACTAGCTCATAGCTGGAGTGAATGGCTACCAGCGGCTCCACAGCACACCAGGGTATTCGCACGCTAAAGCAGGAAGCTTGTTAAACCAAATGACCCTCTGATTGGTGGAGTTTAAGCAATTTGGGGGGTGAGTTTATGCTGGGAGGTTTGGAGCTTGAGAAGGACCCTCCACACCAAGGCCAAACATCAGGGGAAATCAGAACTACATTCTCCCCCCCTTTAAGCCATTTATCTTTTCATAGCTCACAGATTGCAAGAGTCTTCTAAAGGAGAGATATGCAGAGTAGGAGAAAAGTAAGCTCGCCATTCTGCTGCCCACTGCCCCTTCCAGGCCCCTGCTCTGAGCCCTGGAGCCTGGTCTCCATCCACCTGCATCCCCAGGCTCCTTAGTCCTCTATTTTCCAGGAAACTGGAGGTGATGGGAGAGGTGGGACTATTCGCCCTCCTCCCTCACAGCCTCAGCACCGTCCAGGCAGAATCTGTGTTCTTCCTGTTAAGCAGTGGCTTCCTGTTAGGCAGTGGAGCACTAACCTTTGTGCATCCAGAAGGGTCACTTTAGGCCCACTATGGTTAGTTCTGGCTTATGGCCACCTTGTATGTACAGAGTAACTCTGCTCCATGGTGATTTAAATGCCATGACCTTTTAGAAGTAGACTGCCAGGCCATTCTCTTAAGTGGACCGAAATGAAGACATCTGCACCTCCCACGTGGTCTAGGTCAGGAGTGAGAGGTGATAATGGCCAATCTCCAGGTGCCTCAACATACCTCGAGGTTTCCCTCAGCCTCTGTGAATAGTTCCCGCATTAAAAAGTATCTTCAAGAGACCCAGCTTCATATGCTGCCTGTTTTCTCCTGGGACACTAACAGATGGACAGCCAAGCAGATTCTAACTATCCCTCTACCCACCAACAGCCTGAAGCAAATTGTTTGGCCCCTCTAAGCACCGGGTGTAGGTTTGAATCCTAACCCTCTCCAGTGGGGAGATAACCCACATGAAACAGTTTCATACTGACTAATGAGAAGGGCCTGACAAGTGGGATGGTTCACAAGATTCATGGTCAGGAGCGTGACTACTTCAGCCTTGTGAGAGGCCCTGAACTGCTACTAGAAATGCTACGCATTGGCAAGTCTGTGAGGGTGTGAAAACCAGGGCTTAGAATTGAGGTGGGGAGACATTCCCCAAAGAAGATATGAAGGAGAACTTCAGAGCAGCAAGGAAGAAAGGAAGGCCATTGTTGGGGTGACCAGAAGAATACTAAGTAGCAGGGCAAGCATAGGAGTGGCCTGCACAGGCAAAAGGGCATTTTATGAAGGATATTGATTGTCTAGTGGCAAGAAGCTGCGTTGCAATCTCGAAGGCACACAGTTCGAGGCCTCTAGCTGCTCTGTGGGAGAACAATGGGCAATCTCCTCCCTTGTGATTGACTGCCTCTGAAAACCCGTGGGAGAGTCAGCTATGGGTCAGTTCCAGCTCGATGGTAAACAACAACAACTGATAGTATCAGGGAGCACTAGCGACTTCGTCATTAGGAGTTTCACTGCCTTCCTAAAAGTACGCAGTTCAAATCCACCAGCTGCTCTTCAGGAGAAACAGAGGCAATCTCCTCCCGTGAGATTTACTGTCTCTGAAAACCTGCCACAGGGTCAGCTGTGGGTAGGTTCCAACTCAATGAACTGTTGAGGTTAGGTGGTAATACATAAAGATGATAGTTTACTAATTTTTTTTTTAAATTCTTTAAGACAATCAACACTTTGACTTGCACACAGGGCAACCCATTCCTATTGTCCTCGCTGCAGTGTGCGGCTGAGAGTGTATACTGTGTGTGTGTGCGCGCGCACGCACACACACACACACACACACACACACACACACAGAGTTTACATGGGACTCACTCTACAGCCTTCCAGGGAAGGCTCCATTTTACAGATAGGGAAACTGAGGCCTCAAGTAAAATAACTAGCCCTGAGTCACAGAGTGATATGTGTTAAAAGTGGAAACTTCAGACCACAAACTAGAGGAACAAACACCAGAAGCTTAGAGAAGAGAGATGTCGTCAGGACTTCTGTGGAAACGAGAAGGAACCCTCTCACTGTCAGGTCACCCCCTGTTTCTCAAGTGCTGGGCATGCCCCAGCTCAGGATTGCTCTTCCTCACCCCCTGTGGGAGAGCACAGTGCACTTTATAGAAGCATATACTGAGCCTCAGAGGGGTGAAGGATGGGCAGCTGGGAAGAGGGAGTGGGGGGCTGAACCCTAAATCAAGCTCTTCCAGAAGTCCTGCACACCTCTGTGGGGTCTACCCCCACTCCCCACTCCAGGGGAAAGACTCGGTGCCAGTGGTCACCCCCCAAGCCAGGAGTCTGAGGGGAGAGACGCTGCTGCAGAGAGGGCTCGGCCCAGGCTCATGTCTTCCCAGGCTGCCGAGTGGGCGGGCTGCCGGCAGATGAATCGTGGCTGCATCTCGCCTGCCACAAAATGTTCTCCTCCTCCAAATATGGATCAGCCGGCTCTAAATGGAACTCTGAATTAATCACTAATGGACTCAAAAGTCAAAGCCATTTGAAAAACTCACACATTCAGCCTGCCAGACTGCGGCTGCCTTCCTCACCTAGTCCAGACACAGGGGGAAGGGCCACTGGCGGCACAGAGGCCCGCGTCAGCGAGGTCAGCTCCCTGCCAACTCTCCGGGGCCCTGGGGCCTGCCACAAGCCCTCCTGGACCACAGTTTCTCCCTGCTCTCCCCAATTCAGGTACACTGTGGCTCCAGGTCTCTGCACCACTATTTGGCTTCATGTCCCTTGCTCTCCAGAACACTGACCACATGCCAGGCACTAACCTAAGCCCCTGGCATGGACTTGATCACTCAGTTGTCCAAACAACAGCCACATGAGGTTACATTCTACGACCTTCACATCACATTGTCTTACAAATCTAGAAACTGAGGCTCAGCAAGGCTAAGAAACCTACTCACAGTCTCACACAGCCAATACTTGGGGGAACTGAGCCTCCAACACAGACAGATGGACTCCAGAAAACTATCCTGTCACCACTCTCTGCTGACCTCGAAGGCTCTCAGGACACAGGGCCTAATGGCCAGGTAGGGATGTGCAGCCTGGAATATACCGGAGTCCTGAGGCAGAAAGAGGAAAGAGTGGCCTCCCATTGGGTCAGCCCAGGCAGGAGCATAGAGCAAAGCCCAAGCCCCCAAACAAGGCCCACTCCCAACTCCAAGGTGCTCAGGAGCAAGTCATGAGCAGCACAGTGAAGTCTTCAGAGCTCAGAGCTAGTCAGGCCAGAGGGCTGGCCAGGTGTGCCTGCACTGGTGACAGGCCTCAGAGGCAGGGTTTACGGACACAGCTGAGATGAACTCCACAAATAAGGCTGTAGGCCAAGCCGAGAAGTGATGATATTTGGGAAGAATGGATTTTGGGCAGTCAATTCAACTAGAAGTCAGAAATTGCTGACCGGAAGCTAAAGCC